TTCAATTAAGTTGGAGAAGTAGAGTTGTTTAGCATGGAAGAACTGAAGGAGGAGAGAATACATTTGTTGTGGAGGAAGCCTAGTCACAGGATTTGAGCCAGATGCGCTCCACAGTAAGAGAGAGGGGCAAAAGAGTTGAGGATAAAGAAGAATGAAGCATGAAGAAAATCAACAACTAAATCAATGGAAGAAAGGGAAGAGAGCAGAATTAGGCTACGTCCTCACTACGGGAGGGGGGTCGATTTAAGATACGCAAATTTGACGTATCGGAGCCGACTTACCCCGCTGTGAGGACGGCGGCAAATCAACTTCCGCGGCTCCCCCGTCGACAGCGCTTACTCCTACCTCCGCTGGTGGAGTAGAAGCGTCAATTCGGGGATCGATTGTCGCGTCCCGACAAGACACGATAATTCGATCCCCAAGAGATCGATTTCTACCCGCCGATTCAGGCAGGTAGTGTAGACCTGCCCTAAGTCAACACTGATGGACTGGAAGTCATAGAAAGGCCGAGTGACAGGGCGTAGGGTAAGGACTGCTGGGAAATATTGAAAGAGACCCAAGTGATGGTTGGAGGGGGAACTCAGCAACAGAGATTAGAGAGAGAGCAGTGCTTTGTGAAGACCAAGTCAAGTGAATGACCCTTTTGATGAGCAAGAGAGTCAAACCAGGGCTGCAGATCAAATGAAAGGTGAGGGCGAGAAGATATGTGGCTAGGGGTCGAATGGTCATCAACATGGAAGTTGATATCACTGAGGATGAATGTGGATGACTGTGAGGAGAGGAAGAGCAAGAGACAGGAGTCACAAGCAGAAAGAAGGCTGAGGAGGAGGAGTTGGGGGAACGGTAGATAACAGCAGCATGGAAGGAGAGAAGAGTCGGATGCGGTGCTTTCAAAAGTGGGGAGGGGTTAGAAATAGCAGGAAAGGGAGCGGAGAACCCCAACAGCACCACCATGGTCTGATCTAGGGTGGGGAGTATGACAGGAGAGGTCTCCATAAGAGACCTGCAGAGGCAGTGTCAGATGAAGGGATCCAGGTCTCTGCAAGAGCCAAGAACTGGAGGAAGTCAGATACAAAGAACTAGAGATGGAGTGGGTGTGCTAGAGACAGCAAGAAAAAGTGGAAGGAGGGGGTGGTGTGAGGTTAAGAATAGTGGCACAAGAAGGGCAGAGCTGATGGCAGAGGTGGAGAAGGTGGGATGGAAGGGAGGGTCAGGATTGGGGCAAATGTTATCAGAGGTAAAGAGGATGTGGGACCTAGATTTGTGCTGTGGGGGAAAGAGGAACAGGTAGAAATGGTAGCAACTGTAGAGGGGTAAGGGTAACCAGAAAGAGGATATGGAACCAGAGGAGGACAGGAGGACGACAGATACTGTGAGGCAGAAGAGGGTAAGGTGAAAGCCAGGGTCAGTGTCAGGTGGACAAAATTACAATTAAAAAAAAAACAGGTCTGAAAGTATGCTCTCTGCCTGGTGCCAAGTCCCTGCAGTCTGGGCAAAGTGTTATGGGCAGAGCTCCCCAATTACAGTGCTCTTTGGCATAAAATTATCTTTGTCTCCCTGCCAACTTTGCAGAATGTGAGCTCAGTGCAGCTGAACATCAAACCCACAGAATACATAGTGTTGCACTATTACAGCAACACAATCAACTTAAATTTGACCCCCATTTCAGAATATACCAGAAGACTCAGGCTGTATAAAAGTTTGAATAGAAATGTTTGACAATATTAAGAATTCCAACAAAAACAGTTTTGAAACCCAAACAGTGTAGCACTTAAAATGAAACTGAATAAACACAATCTATTCTTGGACAATGAAGACAGTTTCAGAGTAGCTGTAAGCAGTGATAGGTAAATTGGATTTGAAAAATTCTCAGTTCTAATAATCAGTAACACAAGGAAATAGATCACAACATGTTAAGCTGACACTGTTCCTTTAAATACACTGCAGTGTATTAAAGAAAGGAATTGTAATTCATTAGTGTGTCATGACATCCATAACTATTGAAGTTTAAACAATCAATACTGCCGCAGCATGTTCTGCTCTGGTGGCAGACAAAGAAGAGCAGAGGGACTGTTATCTGTGCAGATCATGGAAACAAGATTCAGTGTATCAAATTTTGAATTAAATGTGTGAATTATGTGGTTGAGCTATATTTCCACTTCTGCAATCAGAGTTCCATAATTCAATTATTTGTTTATTTTTGTGGTCTCAGTAAGTAAGTTTAAAATATACCAAATCTCCCAAAAGACTCATTTATTCCTCTTTTTGTTGTGAAATACCAGTTTAAAAGTGAAAGCTAGAAAATAGTCAGAATTTTTCTGAATATCAGCATCTTAAAGAATTCTGAGCAACCCTATTTCCTCATGTTCTTCAGGTACAGACTGCCTAGATAGGTCTAGGCTGATATAAGTAAGGTTTTCATCACCAGCAAAATTTAGCTACTTGTTTGGCTACGATATTCAAGACAGCCAGCCTTATCCCATGTCAAGAGTTGTGCTGCTTTCCTAAAAAAGCTAACAAGTAATTCTGTCCTTATCTTCTCCTCCCCTTTCCACACCCAGCACAACTCTTCCCCATACCCCCATCCTCAAACAAAAAGCAGCACAGAACCAGCACGTCTCTGCACCACAGTGCTCTGCCGGAGGAAGTTAGACGTAACAACATGGATATTAACAGCACAAAACTATTTCTATTTAACATTTGATGGTTTCACAGCCTCAAAACCAGTGCTACTGTCAAAAGAGTGGGATACGTCCAAAGATACAATATTGTGGGTGTTCTCCCTTCTTCCTGCACCCCGTCCTTTTTTTTTTTGATAAAGTGATCCATTACAAAATAAACTTTGTGCCAGTTCTAGATGAAGTGTCAAACATCCTTATGATGCTGTGACCTCTACTACTAATATTCAGACCCGTACTCAGATGTGTGAATTTTCAGTAGTTTTCTTTTACCTCATTTTAAATCCCTTGGTTTTTACTGAAGTCAGCCGTCATACATTCTTAGTTACTCTTTCACAGTTATGCTGTTCGATTTAAAAATACCCCCCCAAACACACTTTAAAAAAAAAGTTAATTAGAAAGGCATCAACAAATTACTATGGTTTAAAACTGACAAGTAACAGCTATCTCTTGTATAACGGTTTTCATCAGTAAATCTCAAAGTGCTTTACAAAGGACATTGATATATGAAAACTGAGGCAAAGAGTAATTGGCCCAGGTTAGTAGTAGCAGAGATAGAACTAGAACTCAGGTCCTCTAGAGTCCTAGTCAAGTGCTTGATCCTCCAGGTCATATTACTTACACTAGGAAAGCATATTTATGTAGCTTGAGTATGTAATGTCAAGATTACTTCATTACTCTTAATGAAAGCAAAAAGTAGTTATAGAATCAAAGAACCCCAGGGTTCAGAAGGGACCACAAGAGTCAACTAGTCTAACTCCCTGCCAAGATGCAGGATTGATTGTATCTACATAATCCAAGACAGATGGCTATCCAGCCTCCCTTTGAAAATCTCCAGTGAAGGAGCTTCCACAACCTTTGTAGGCGTCTGTTCCATTGTCCTACTGTTTTTACAGTTAGGAAATTTTTCCTGAGATTTAATCTAAATCTGCTATGCTGTAGTTTGAATCCATTGTCTCTTGTCTTGCCCTCTGTGGCAAGAGAGAACAACTTTTCTCAATTTTTTTTATGGCAGCCTTTCAAGTATTTGAAGACCACTATCATGGCCCCCCTTAATCTCCTCTTTTCCAAATTAAACATTCCTAGTTCCTTCAGCCTTTGCTCATATGGCTTGCATTCCATCCCTTTGATCATCTTTGTTGTTGCCTCTGGATTTTTTCCAGTTTCTCACATCCTTTCTATACATTGGTGACCTACTCCAGCTGAGGCCTAACCAACGCTGAGTAGAGCAGTCCTATCACCTCCCAGGACTTGCATGCTATGCCTCTGTTAATGCAACCTAAAATTGCATTTTATTTATTTATTTATTTATTTTTTACAACAGCATCATGTTGCTGACTAATGTTGAGGTTGTGATCCACCACAACTCCCAGATCCTTCTCAGCAGTGCCATTCTGTATTTGTTCATTTGGTTTTTCTTCCCTAAGTCCTTTCATTTGTTTTTATTGAATTTCATTTTGTTGTCTAGCCCAATTCTCCAATTTATCAAGATCCCTCTGAATTTTAGCACTATCCTCCAAAGTGATTGCAAACCCCGCTTGCCCGCCCCCCCAGCTTTGTGTTATCTGAAAATTTGATCAATAAGCTTTCTGCTCCTAAATCCAGGTCATTAATAAAGATGTTAAACACCGGACCCAGACCAGATCCCTGTAGAACCCCACTTGAGATATCTCTCCAATCTGACATTGTTCCATTAATAGTTATTATTTATTTGAGGTTGTTTAACCAATTATGTGTCCACGTCATGGTAGTTTGCCAAGTTATGCAGGCTTCCTTCCTCTAACTATTCAAACAAAATCAGGGAGAAATATGTTTCAAAATAGTCAGATATCGGAGAAGCATACGTCTGTTACGTTATGCTCTCCAAGCAGCTTTTAAAATTTGATTAATTCTATGGAAAATACTGATGTTGGAGCCCAGTGGGTTTGCCATCTAATCTGTAGGGATTTTACAATGGATTTTCTTACCATTCAATGATGGCATCAGCTGCTTTTTTCTTTCCCTTTCTTTTGCTATTTAGCCATTACTCTGGCACCAGACCAATGGCTACCTAGGAAGTTGCTAAACATTCTATACATCTGATAGTAGGAACTACTAAAAGTTAGTCAGCCAGAATCCACTCTCTCAGAAAACCATCTACAATGGCTTTAGTCTTCCCTGACTTGCATAAATGTCCTAACCAGTGTTCATTTCTGGAGTCTGGCTTTGAGACACTTTCATGGAGGTAGAAAGTCACAGTATATGAAAAAGGGAGGCTAGGAACAAGTTATCTGAATTATTTTGTATAAATATTAATAAAGCAAGAGTTAAATACTTTCAGACCTGTTTCTCTGGAGGATATTTGTGCTGCAGCCATTCTTCTGGAGCTCTAGCTTTTACGTCCCAGCCAACAATGACTCCTGAATAGCCAAATCTTCTGTGTATTATCACCTGTCCCACATTAAACTGAACAGATTCTGGCTTTGGACTGTGAATGTGAGTTGATTCTAGTAAAACAAGAGAACAGATTTATCAAGGAAAAAGTGTTTGATCAAGTACAATAGAAAACATTTAATAGACTTTACTCTGTTGGACATCCAGTGACAAACAAACAGATTGGGCAATTAATAAAGTAAAACTAGGCGTATGAAGACTAACAGTCTTTAGTACAAACAGCTAGTTTGCTGTTAAAACCAAACAGCATTTGTTCAGAATGTTATAATAATATTTCATAAATATTCATTTATGTTTTATGTTGTATCCTGGAATTAAATTAATGGGATTTGGGAAATCATCAAGACAAAATAAATATGTTGACAAGTATTTGTTTTCTTCAGTCTTAATTAATGCAATATTTGACAGTACTACAGAGAAATGGTTCAGACTCCATAGTTGAGGCTATATGAATTTATCTATTTTGTGTTTAATTGTGACACTCTCCTTTCTAACTGAAAACAAAGAAAGCTTCTTTCTGCCTGAAATTTTTTCCATTCAGTCTCTGTTCAGAGATGGTTTTTGAAGAAAATAAGAGCTATTTGAGTTTGAAGACTGATAAAATGGTACCTTTTCTCTTTCTGTTTTAGTTCAGTCATAAATCAAACAGCTATGAGAATATCAAAGATGTTTTAGACACCAGTGCTCCCTGAACAAGCACATATGAACACTTTTAGCGAAGTGTGAGAGATGGCCTCTGCTTGTTTGTCATTTAGGAGATAAGTCTAGATAAGTCTCTGAAACTGTCCAAAATAAAATTCAAAAGGATTGAAGACTGCAGTCTTTTTTAGAAATAAAGTTTCCCCAGTACCTGCAAAATAAGCATGGATTTCTTCTTCATCTTCAACACCTTGAGTTCTCTTTTCTCCATAGTACCAGTTCCTAAAACAATGAGTGTGATCACAAGTTTGTTAATGTTTGAGTATTTGGATTGGATTTATAATAATCGGAAAACTGGATAAAGTTGTTTGAATAAGGTGATGTTACAAAATGGTTGATACAAAATTCAACGCAGTTTGAAGCAAATGACAATCTTAGAATCTTATTGGACATTGTAAAAGACAAAGTTATTTGTTCAAAGAGGGCAGGAAAGTATAAATATTATGCATTGGAAATCCACTTTGGATATTGTAATTTCACAGTTGCATGTTAGATCTCCCTATTATAAACACAGAAGACAAACAGGTATTCTATAGATGAGACGATATGATACAGAATTCCTTTGGAGTCACACTGTGGTGCGTATTGTAAATTGTATATGGAAAAGTTTGAAGACATGTTGGTATGTGCATTCAAAATGTGTTTCACGAGTAGTTGCCATACCCAATGTTGTACTTTTGCAAATTAAGATGCAAGCTATCTAAAAATGCCAAATGGAGTTAAACCATTTTCTAGTCTAATAGTTCCCATCCTCTAAGTATATAAGTACAAAAACTTTAAGTCCTTAAAATTAAATGTGGTAAAACAAGAGCCCTTTGCCCCTTTTAAATATTTGAACAAAGAGTTCACCTTGACCAACACTAAGTTGAATGCCAAGTTACAGCTCAAACCGAAGATATACTGCTGAGTTGTAAGAGTTTATATAAACACAATAGGACAAGTTTTTGAACATGGTTTAAAGGAACAAATCAAAAACTGAATTAAATTAAAGCTCTTCTTTAGGGCTACAGTGAATGCAGCTTCCCTTTTATGCTAGATCTTAGTCATAGCCCAAGAAGGGTTGTGGCTTTCATTTAAATTTCAGGTTGGAGGGTGGTATTTTAAAAAAGAAGAGCTGGCTCCTTTTACTGTTGCTGCTGTCTGGTGAAAGGAAGAAAGACTAGGAAGTCAGAGACCTACTGCAGCGCACACTTTGGTGGGGGCACAGTGAGGTGGTTCAAATCTCTCTGCTGCCCTTGTTGTCAGTGGTGTTGACAGCTGTGCTCTGTAAGCTAATGGCATCTTTTGTGCAGCTTTTAACAAGTGGTGACAACAGACACCACTTGGGATCTTTTCCCATGTATGTCAGCCAGCTCTCTGTCAATACCAAGTGCGTATAGGTGCTTGCAGAATCTCCTCTCCATATGGCATTGCTAAGCCCCTCCCAAATCCTGCTTTGACAGGAAGTAAAGGAGCAAGTTCCACCAGGTTCCTATAAAAATCTCCATCTGAATGAACTCTGTAAGGACTTAAGGTTAGCAAACACTTTCTATTGCAAACACTGAAGTGTAAGTGTCCTGATCTGCTAGGTGAAATTGCACCCAATATGGAAGGTTTGGGAAGTCCAGAAGTGTTAGTTTTTATAATACTAAGAACTGATCATTTAAGAAAAGGTATTAAGAAGAGAAAGCGATCTTATGGGGGCTAAATAATCCTCAATGCAGTCCTTTTGGGACTGAGGGAGACCCTGGATATAGGGTGTCTGGAGTCCTATACTAGGTCAGAGAAAGTTGGTGAGAAGTGGGGTCTTTGTGGACTTTTGCAGGCCGTGCAAAGAGCTCATTTCTCCTTAGACTGTTTCCCCCAGAAACCTCCAGGGAGGCAAAGTTCTAATTCTATGAATTTTCTAGGCCTCAGGGGTCTAAGTAGTGGTTTTTAGAACTCTGCATGGACCCTTTATAAAGCCTTCATAAAAATACACGAGTTAAGAACTCTGCAGAGTTCCAAACAAACATGGAAACCAGTTTTAATAACTAAATCCCCACAATGCCCCCAAACTAATGAAAGGCACCAATCTTCACCAAGACATAAAAATGAAGTTTTTAGGCCATGTCACTTTGAAATGCTTAGACAATATCCAAGAAAAGCTTAGACAATATCCAAGCAGCAAGTTTCCCTCATTTTTAACCTTTATATTGCCCAGGTGTTTTGCCTGATTTACCATCAAACCACATAAAAATATTATACCCAGCATAAGATGACCATGCACATTGAATTTTAGATGGATCCAACCTGATCCTGCAAACATTTATGCACATGCTTAACTTCATGAACATGGGAAATCTCACTGGCTTCACTGATAAAGAGATTTAAATTAGAAGATTAATATAAACATTACATTGATACTGTGATTTATCTTCAGTTTGGAGGCAGCCCCAAGTTGAATGTTCAAACAAAGTAAGCGCAAAAAGGTCTTTTTAAACAGAGAAATTATACCCCAAGACCATCCTCCTCAAGAGGAGGAAATTTTCCATGGCAGATTTTTTCCTTGTCATTCTTATTTCCCTCTATAGCACTCTCCAGTAATAACAGGCCAAGAGATAGGGAAGCTGGAGTTAATGGTAGGATCAATGTAAAACTTACTATAGCATAAATATGTAATGTCCTACCTTGTCTTTGATATCCACAGCTTTAGATGGTCTGTCCATGCATCCAGACTCAAGTAGGACTTTATTAATCTGTTCCAATAGCCAATTATCCTTTAGTAATAAAGATGGTTGTCACATGGTATGAACATTTGATAGTATACTGTATAAAATTGCTTTACATAAATTTAACATACAAAAATTGTTTTTATATGAAAAAAGAGAAGTCACTGACAGAACATTTATTTGATAAAGACTCCGTTCTCTAGACACATTGAGAAATAAGCAGATAATTTTTCAATGGTCACTTGCTCCAAAAACAACCTAAGTTTTGAAGATGTCCATTTTTATGCCAAGATGCTCCCTGCCTTTACTCAGACTGTAGGAAATTGCCATCGGTGCTTCATCCTGTCCAGAGTCCTCTCTTCGAGAGTGACCAGCACCAGATGCTTCAGAGGAAGGCAAAAAAATGACAAAATGGACGATTATGGAATAACCTTCCTGTACAGTTTCTTCTAAACCTCACAGTTAGTGGTTTTCTCATGCTATAAAATATGAGGGTGTGTTCTATTCTCTGATCAATTTAAGTCTGGGTATTCTCATTCATATAGACAGTTTAATCTGTTCAATCCAACTAGGCTTTTGGCTTCAGTGATGTTTTGCAACAATATCATAACCGATGTAATAGTAAGATTTTAATATTTGAATTGCAAACAGGTTATGTATCACTTGTACAGATCTCTCCCCATGCTGCTCACCTTTAAAACATCAGTGGACACAACAATACCTGAAATTAGCATAGCCTTCTCTTTATATTTAGGATGAAAATGTTTGTGGTGACTGTTGGTAAACAACAACTTTTTAAAATAAGTAATATTGTACTAGTCACTATGTATTTCATTCTTTTCTGATTGCTGCCCTAAGTCATTATTCACGCTCTGCTACATTGATTTTTATTGCTAAGGCCAATGCACTAAATCATACTCCAAAAGGAAATACATTTGAATAGTAAGTTTCAACAAGACAAGGGAAAGTCAAAAATAGTGTTATTAATCAAGCATTTCATTCTCACCTTTTAAAGAGATTAAGCACATAGTAACACTTATTGGAATCTCCAGGGGCAGAAGCATATTGAAATATAGCCATGCCGACCATACACACAAGGTTTTATATGGAGAAAAACAAAGGCTATTATTCAAATGCTGTAGGACATCAAACTGCTTAATAAATTCATATTAAAACACAAAAATGTATGAGATACGATCTGAACGTATTCTTGTAAGGAGGATAGGAGGGCATCCCCATCCCAAGCTTCCAGGACAAAAGTGCAATAAAGGAGGAGGGAGAGAGAAATCTAGCTTTGAATATATTAACGTGGTGGGGAGAAAAAATGTTACAACCTTTGTGTCACTTGGAGGCGCTGATCAGAGTCTGTTCCATACCACTGGGATATGAAATACTGTGCAGGAAGTGCAGATAGCAGCACACAAATCTGCAGAACTGTAGCTGTATTAATCTGAGGCATTCCAACAGTGAAACCTCTTCAAAGATGCTTTCCCTCTCACTGTAATCTGCAAAGTGAAAAAAATAAAATGAGTGATTACTAACATCACAGTGTTTAAATTCCATTCACTATATATTGTTGAGTCACAAGATATTTTGCACCTTGGACTATACTTCAATTACACTCAAAGATCATGAAAATGTTTATTTATTTACATACTCTCAAACACCTGAAAGGCCTGCCTGAAGTCAACTACATTTTAGCACTAAACCACAAACAGTCACAAGTATAGATACACCAGAAGGCCTAGCATAAGCTCAAATACATCTTCAGAAGCAACGATCTTACCATTCAGGCTGCTCCCAGTATTAGGAAGACATGTCTCCTTTACACATACTGAAAAGGGAGGCAGAGGGTTTCTTTGACTTCAAGAAAATAAGAGGTCTTTACCCTGCTATCATCAGCTCTTACTGAAAAAAGATTCTCATTAGAACCCATACTGAAAGGAAAGCAGGTAGAAGAGCAGCGGAGCTGCTTGGTGCACTAGCCTGTAGAGAAGACTCCGTTTCAGATATAAAATTGGTCACAAGTGAAACAGGCAGAACAGATGTTCACACATCTTACCAGTAACCACAAAATTTGCCTGATTCATTAAATATAGGTCATTCTCTACTCCACAGAAACCTAGGACCGTTAATAATGGGAATGTGATCATGTACAACAACTCAGGGTTATACCTGTATGAAAAGGAAATGGATGCACTGATTCTTGAAGAAAATCAATTACACAAACAATCCACAGATGAAAAATGGAATGGGAGCGCATGTAGCTTGGTTAATACGACTCTTTTTTTCTTTTTTTTAGTTTACCAAAGACACATTTTACATATAAAAGATAGATTTGTTTAATTCTGCAGCAGAAGCATTTAAAATGCCAGTCAGACAGTTTGAACCCCAAATGTAGGTAATTTAAAAGACAGTCATAATCCACAAAATACGATTGGATTTTTCCCCCTGACTGAAAGAGCTACTGAAGTTTTTAAAAGCTAACCCAGTATCCTCCTGCAGCGAGCAACTCAAACACTACATTGTGCTAAGGCGTGGAGCCAGACTAGTACTTTTCCTTGGACAAAAAAAACAAAAAAAAACAAAGAGCACAAACGTTGAAAAGTATGGAGTAAAAAAAAAGACCTCGAAAAGAGTAAATAGTTTAATTCTGGGGGAAAGATTTGTAGCCAAAACGACTCTAGAATAAAATCTTCCTTTAAATCCCCACATTTAGACTGGCGAGGGAAAGAGTCTCTCCCTGCTAACAAAAATGAACTCAAACCCCGAACATGATGGGGATGCTGCAGACCATGTGTAAATTCCCTGCTCGGAGATGCTGGGTGCTGCTTAAGCTACTATCCACGTGCCCCTGTTACCCCGCTCCGAAATCTCAGCCAGCTGGCGGCCTTGGAGACTAGAGAGAGATCGACCTGCTAACCAGCTAAGTGAGAGGCGCCGATAGCCGGAGCGCGCTGGCCCCAAAGGGAGACGCAGCTAATCCTGCCGGACAACTTGGGCTCCAGGCATCCTGTGCCAGCCACCTTCACACCCAGCCCACCCCGCGCTCGCGGTCCGGGTGCACGGGGAGCGTGGCACGTCGCCTGGTGAGAGCCGCGGCCAGAGCTAGCCGGGACCCTGCCACCAGAAGAGCAGAAAGCGCCTTCTCCGCCCCGGAGCACGCGCGTCCCAGCCGGCTACTCCCGTCTCGCTGGCTCCGGGCGCCCCGGCACCTTCCCGGGCCAACAGGTGCCGGAGCCCCTCGGCAGCGCGGCCCTGGCAGCCCCTCTCTGCAGCAGGGGACAGACCTGGCCACTGGGTCTGCCCTGGGGACGCCCCCGCGCCCACTGACGGCCGCTGTAGGGGCACAAACAGCCTGTGCCCGGAGCCCGCCGCTCCGGCTCTGAGGCGCACCAGGTATCCGGGGCTCCGCCTCCCCGTGGGAGCCGCGCCGCTGCCGGCCGGCCCGCCCGGAGCCAGGTGAGGGGCTGCACGCGAGAGACTCACACGCAGGCTGCAGGCTGCCCAGGTGCTGCAGGCTGGGCTGCAGGCTGCCCAGGTGCCTCGCTCGGCGGCGGGAAGGCTCCTCGCTGGGAGGTCGTGCCTGACTGCGGGCAGTGCTGCGTGTCAGGGACCGCAGGAAGAGAGAAGCGAAACCTCTGCAGGAGACGCCACCAGCCTCCTCAGGGGCCTCCAGCTGGGGACACATGCAGGGGAGTTGCCTTCCTAGTCAGCCTCCTCCCCCAGATCCTTTCACCAGAGCGATAACAGTGAAATGTTTGAAAAGGCCCCATCCCACTTGAAATCGGGTGGGGGGGGGGGAGTGTGATGGCTTCAGGGCCCAACTTTAATCCTGGTTTGTAATCAGAATCCCCTTCTTCTAAAAATTACAGCTATTATTAAACATGTACATTAAGGCATCAGCCTATATTATTCCCCCTTTCCTTCCCCCCAATTGCTGTCTGAAAGATAAAGGCAAACAAACACCCCACATCTGGTCAGTGCAAAAGTCAGTGGGAGTCCATTCATACTCACCTGCAAGATCAGGGCCCACAGGGGAATTGACTGACTAGGCAGCAGTATCAGAGGGGTAGCCATGTTAGTCTGAATCTGTAAAAAGCCACAGAGGGTCCTGTGGCACCTTTAAGACTAACAGAAGTATTGGGAGCATAAGCTTTCCTGGGTAAGAACCTCACTTCTTCAGATGCAAGACTTACCCAAGGTTCTTACCCAGGAAAGCTTATGCTCCCAATACTTTTGTTAGTCTTACAAATGCACAAAGTAAACTGAGAAAAATACATTTTTCTCTACTCCATTTCAGATAGTGTAGTGTTAGATGTTGCTTGTAACAATAGAATTTTCACATACAAGTGATTTTATTTCTACTATCAGGGGATAGCCGTGTTAGTCTGTATCCACAAAAACAACTGGATTCCTTGTTGTTTTTATTTTGACTGCGTCCCTTTAGGGATGTCAGCATTTAGGATGAGACAAATGAGAGCTACACTGAGACTTCTGCAAGATCAGGGCTTTCAAGTATCATCATTATGTTTCAGAGATCATAGTTTATACTTCTTATTGCAGAATGGAGCCTATGAGCAGATTCAGTAACGCTCTTAGCCTGTAATAACCTCTGTGCAGGGCTTTAAATGTAAATTTAAATTCTGCAGAATGTGATAGGGAAACTGTAAAAGTTTCAGTAGAGCACAGCAGTTCAATTCCTGCTTAAGACACCAGTTCAAAATTTCTCTCTAAACATTTTAAGTATAATTCTGTTGCCTTTAGCAGACAAACCATTCTTAAAGATAACATACATAATGTTGTTTTTAATTGGTCTCATACCCTTTTTTGGCATCTTATGCATGAAAAAAAACTCTGAAAGCTTGAAAGTTTTTTTTTCCCCTTCCCCATCACCCTCCCATTGCCTTGTTTAACCTTAGAAATACTAGGAATGTAAATCTGATCTTTCCTGTTTTACTGGATGATTTATTGGGGAACTCAGAACCTGTATATTGTGATATTTCAGTCTCTTACTTTCTGCCAAATGTGGTATGGAGACCCCTTGCTCTGCTTTTTGCTGTGTACAGTAGAGATAGACAATGACACAACACTGACTTCAGTTAGGTGTCTAATAATAATATACATTTCTATAATACTTTTTGTCCTGAGAGGTACCAAAGTGCTTTACAGATGGATGCATGCAGTACCACTGAAATGCACTCAACTTCTAAGGAACTTAAAGTTTGGCTGATGCTAGACAAAACAAAACAGAAACTGCAGAGTTGTAGCTTGAATTATGCCAGTGTAGTGCTGCTTAAACTTCTTCATGTTGTAGACATTCTTTAAGATTAAGATCCTCCTCCAATGGCCATCTTCTCTCCCAAAGTTGATTCCACACTTTTCCCACAGCAAAGTATGCTTGGCTACATTAAAATATATATAAATATTGATTGGAACAATATTAAGAAGACAATGAAAAAGCTGGGCCGAGATAAGAGCCACCCAGGGAGCCCAGGCCATTGTGGGGAGCCCCAGACCCTCCACCTGCCCTGGACAGAGGGCTGGGGTACCTGAGAGTAGCCCCTGGCCTGTGTCCCTGGCCCTGGGGTATGCCACCCAGGGCAGGTGGAGGGTCCAGGGCTCCCCATAGTGGCGCAGGCTCCTTGTGCAGCTTTTCGGAGCCTTGTGGGGGAGAGGAAGAGCAGAGGTCAGGGCCCCCTGGTAAAGGGGGGGCTAAGGCCCACCTCAGGCCTCTCACTCCCTGGGAAGCTGGGGCTGCGCTTCATGGTGGGGGAGCTGATCACCTTATCAGTGATAAGTGTTGCTGCCCGCTTTGCAGACCATCCAGTGAGATGAGTCGGGGTGGAGACAGAGACAATGCGTGGGACTCCAGCTGCAGGGAAGGATAAAGCAGCCTCATGTGGTGGGAAGAAGCTCAGCCAGCGCCAAGCACAATGAGGTCCTGGTCCATGACTGAGGGTCCCAGGTACTATGATAATACAACCAGCTGCCCTGCTGCTTCCTCCCTCCCCAGGCTGCACGGACACACTGAGAGCACTGCTGCCAGGGGGAGTGCTGCCTCGTCGCTGCTGGGTGTCCATGGCAGAGACATCCCAAGAAATCTGGGGGCCAGAACCTTTCATTTGTGCCCCCCCGTCTAGCCAGAGTTACTTCCAAGGTACGGGATAAATTCCTGCCTTTCCCCACAGATGTTCCTGTTGCATAGAAACGGTGGGGACAGACGAAATCAGTCACTTTCTCAGTGGTGAGAAATGTAACATGGAGCTGAACAGCCCAGGGCAGGTTTTGAGGCAGCAAGCAGGTAGAGGTGTAGGAAATAGCTATTGAGCATATGTAGGGGTCAGTGTTACACACTGAGCCCTGGTCTACACTATGAGGGCAGGTCGAATTTAGCCACGTTAGGTCGATTTTATAAGCAATGCATCTACACAACCAACAGGCTAGGACTTTTCAGCTTGGAAAAAAGGAGACTAAGGGGGGATATGATAGAGGTATATAAAATCATGAATGAAGTAGAGAAAGTAAATAAGGAAAAGTTATTTACTTATTCCCATAATACAAGAACTAGGGGCCACCAAATTAAATTCATTGGCAGCAGGTTTAAAACAAATAAAAGGAAGTTCTTCTTCACACAGTGCACAGTCAACTTGTGGAACTCCTTCCCTGAGGAGGTTGTGAAGGCTAGGACTATAACAGCGTTTAAAAGAGAACTGGATAAATTCATGGAGGTTAAGTCTGTTAATGGATATTAGTCAGGACAGGTAAGGACATTGCCTGTTGGGTTCACTCCCTCTGGGGCACCTGGCATTGGCCACTGTTGGTAGACAGGATACTGGGCTAGATGGACCTTTGGTCTGACCCAGTACGGCTGTTCTTATGTTCTTAACCCCGTTCCGTCAACCTAAAGGGCTTTTAAAATCGACTGCTGTACTCCTCCCCGCCGAGGGGAGTAGCGCTAAAATCGACCTTGCTGGGTCGAATTTGGGGTAGTGCAGAAGCAATTTGACGGTATTGACCACCAGAAGCTATCCCAGAGTGCTCCAATGTGACCGCTCTGGATAGCACTTTCAACTCCAATGCACTAGCCAGGTACACAAGAAAAGCCCCAGAAAACTTTGAATTTCATTTCCTGTTTGGTCAGTGTGGCGAGCTCAGCAGCACAGGTGACCATGCAGTCCCAGAATCTCAAATGAGCTTCAGCATGGACCGAACAGGAGACACTGGATCTGATTGCTGTATGGGGAGAAGAACCAAAATTGCACAGGGCATGGTAGAGAGAGGCTACAATGGGGACACACAGCAGTGCCACGTGAAAGTTAAGGAGCTAAGGCAAGCCTACCAAAAGACAAAGGAGACAAATGGTCGCTCTGGGTCAGAGCCCCAGACATGCTGCTTCTATGATCAGCCGCATGGCATTCTGGTGGTGACCCTACTACTACCCCCCCACTGTCCGTGGACACCTGCAAAGGGGGAGTCTCACGCAACAGGGAGGAGGATTTTGTGGAGGAGGAGGAGAACGTGCAGCAGGCAAGCGGAGAATCCGTTCTCCCTGGCAGCTAGGACCTATTCATCACCCTGGAGTCAATACCCTCCCACGGCGGGTTCCCAGACCCTGAAGCTGGAGAAGGCACCTCTGGTGAGTGCACATTTGTAACTACACTACAGGGTTTAAAAGCAATTGTGTTTAATGTTCGATTTGCCCTGAAAACTTGGGATGCATTCATGGCCAGTACAGCTACTGGAAAATCTGTTAACGTGTCTGGGGATGGGGCAGGAATCCTCCAGGGACATCTCCATGAAGCTCTCCTGGAGGTACTCTGAAAGCCTTTGCAGAAGGTTTCTGGGGAGGGCTGCCTTATTTCGTCCTCCATGGTAGGACACTTTACCACACCAATCCAGTAGCAAGTAGTTTGGAATCATTGCAGCACAAAGGATGGCAACAAATGGTCCTGGGTTTTGGTTGCATTCAAGCAACATTTGGTCTATATCTTTCTGTGTTAGCCTCAGGAGAGTGATATCATTCATGGTCACCTGGTTGAAATAGGGAAATTTTTGTAAGGGAACAGAAAAGGACCCCGTGTGTGCTGGGCTGTTTGATCTTGGCTAAAAGGGATCATCCCTGAGAATAGCCACGCAGTGGGGTAGGGGGTGGGGTGTGCTGCACATCCACCAGAAAACTGCAGTCCCTCCTTTTAAATGGCAAAACCAACTGGCATTGCTTGCTATGGGAAAGGAGGGCGCTGCAGTTTGAAACCATTCCCACATATTATGAAGGCGGAAGAAGCCAACCCCGCGTACGCTTTGGCTTACCATGTCTGCCTGGAAATCGAATTCTGTTGCCCAGCTGTGTGTGATGTGTCACCATACCAGCAGTTGCTCAATATAAAAGGCAAAATATGACCTTGTACCTAAAGCACGTGCTATCTGCTGTGAATTG